ATGTGGGGGGGGGGGGGGGGGGGGGGGGGATAAGGCGACGGGCATTCCAGGTCCTCTCCGAGCGTTTTCAAGTTCTCTCCGGGTGTTCCAGGTCCTCTCTACGCCGAAAGACTTTATGCCACCGCACGAGTCGCAGAATCATGGGACTTCGTGAGATCATGGGCTCGCATTACTCGCCTTCGGACTGCACGAAATAACGAACGACACGAGAACGAAATTCAAATTGCATAGGTCCCACTTTTTCCGCTCGTCTCACGTCAGTCGTCCTGGATTTATCATCGCGAAAGTTGGAATCCTAGTAAAATTCCGAGCGACGACTGACGACATCGCGAGTTCGTGTTGGGGTCCGAGTCCGAGGCGCAAAAAAAGGTGGAAAAAAAACCAAAAACAAGTCGTCCCAAACGAAGGACACGAAAATGCCATAAAATGGTGAGTGGTGCAACGTACCTGATATTCGAATACAGGATTTGTGAGACGTGTGGTTCGTCTGGCGCGGCCGGTAAAGCTGAGTACGATGGGGTACGTTCGTAGCTAATGGCAAGCTGCCTAACCCTAACAAAAAAGATAGAGCTTGTCCCGTTCGGAAGGTTCGTAAAGGTCGATACGGAGACGATAGCCGTTAGGCGAGGATTCCTACCAGGACTGGGTTTTTTCCACAGATTTCGTTTATTCCGATCTACACTCTACATGCGACACAAAATGGGTTTCAAAGTATCGATTCGAGCAGAAGAGTATGACAAAATCTCTCGGCACAACTGCACAAATGCGAACGCTTCGGTACGCGAGATTTGAATGAGAAAAATCTGAAGAGAAAGACAAAAATTTTCTCCCCCTCGATGCACCACCATTCGATCGTGGTTTCGTGATCGATAGCAATCGCTGCTACGACAGCGAAATCGTTTGGGGTCGCTCGGGCTCCAACCGTCCGCAGGCTCACACTCCGATTTCGTCCTTGCTATTTCCAAGAGTTCCTATCGGCTCCATCCGACAAGGGACAGAATCTGGCTCCGACCGGCACTTGGGCCCCTCGGCTCCAACCGAGTAGAAATAGCAAGGATTTACAACGGAGCCCCTAGCTCGGTGGTGCCTGGCACCAGCGGCGATCTGGAACACTTCAGCCCCCTTTCCTTACGGAGACTTCAACACGAGTTTATGGTGTCGATCACGTCAGTCCGCGTTGCGGCACACTCAGACGTCGATCGGCCGGAAGAGTCGAAGGACGCTGCTAAAATCAGTAAGAAAAGGTCACGGGAGTGCTACATTTGCGGCGATGTTTAGGCATCACCAAGGCGCATAACGAAAGGATCGAAAACCATTTTGTTGGTTTCTTCTCCCTGCCGTGCTCCGTGTGTCTTAATGAATTTCAACTGTTCAACTGCGTAAAGGATTCTCCAAATTGGGATGGGGGAAGGGGGAAAGGGGGAAAGGGGGAAGGGGAGAATGGGGAAAAGGGGGGAGGGGTTGCAATAAGCCTTTGGGGTCCCAATATCTGGATTTGCTTAAAGTTCGCAAGAGAGCCTGTTCGCGATTCACTGCGATCCGAAAACCAAGCTTAGGCGAGTGAATTTTTCAAGAAAGTCAAATTGCTTTTGATTTGTGAAAACGCCTGACGAAGCAGACGATAAACGAAGTGATGAAAACGAAACGGGTCTCACTGGTCAGGGGAAGGATGCTTCGAACTGTATCGCCCGACGATCCCGATCCGGTCTTGGAGAATTTTTCGTACAATTCCAGCATGTGTTCCGGAGGCGGAAAATGAAAATCGTCCTCCGGCCGAGGCGAATTGGCAATGGCACCGGAATCCGCAAGAAGCGACACGACGCCGGTCGCGAAGAAGAGGGAAATTTCCAGTCGCCACATCTCCGAGCGAGAGAGGAGGAATGGCAGCACGGACACTGTCGGACGGTCGAGAGACGACTGGCCGCCCAGGGCACATCCCGCACATCCCGCTCGTCTCCACTGCCGCTCGAGCTTGGAATCGACCGGACACGGTTTCCCCATTACCGCAAATGCGTTCCCTCTCGCTACGGGATTCTCGCCGCACCTCACGAGTGCATCGTCTCCACGGTCGCCGCGTCTCCCACGACGGAGTCTCTCGTCTGCGTGAACCGCGAAATCGTCTGCGGACGGGCGACAGGCACTCCGTCGCTTCCTGCATTGCGGGCGTCTCCCACGTGTCGGCTTCTCGCGATGCGTCGGTCCGAAAAAGCGGTACTCCCACTCCTTTCACGTTACCGGACACCCTTCGATCGAAACGACGAAAGTCGTTTCGATATTTCCGTGTTAGGCGTGGAGTGGATTTCGAGAAATCGAGAATCGTCTACGTCTTCATCATTCTTCCTTTTCGACAGAGGGGTGAAGGATTGCCCGATCCTTTCGTCACTTCGACGGTCACGGCAAGGACTGCGATCCTTCCGACTCGAAATGAGCCATTAATACGATCGTGTATCAGTCGCATCGCCGAGGCGAACGTGCGTGACGACCTTGCAGACCTCTGTCATCTAAGCGAGGAAAGTGGAAGTCGATGAACGTTGAGGTAGAGAGCAGTAGGACGAGTTAGCTTGTTCCAGGGCGAGCGTCTCTGCCTCCGGGGTGAGGATTTTTCCCCCTCATCCTGGGACCAGCCCACCCCAAGCTCTTCACTCCACTTCGCTGAAGGGGTTTCCCTTTTTCATTTTTCACTTCGCAACCCTTCGCGTCGTGCATGCGACACGTCCATCCGACCCGACCAAGCCATGCTTTTATTCCGGGATCCTCAAAGAGCTCATTTGAAGGGATTTGTTTTGTCCTCTCCTGAGAAGGGAGAGGGTGACTCCCCTTTCCATCACACTGCGACTGTGGCAGGCAGTGCCCAGAAAGGAGGGGGGAGGTAGGAGGCAGGCTCAATAGAGGGGAGGGGGAAGGAGGTAGGAGGCAGGCCTCAATAGAGAGGAGGGAGAAGGAGGCACCGTTCGGCGTGCGAAATGTGCCGGATGTCACATTTGGAGAACGATGAGGAGTCACTCGCTTTCGCGGTCACGTTTCCATGATTTATTGGAGCCCATCGATTCACACCTTTAGCAACTCGCTTTTAGATGGTTTCATTCGTTTTCGGTGCATTTCCTCTCGTTTTTCGCAACGGAAAGGGGTATGAACGTTTCGGCACGCAAGCGATTTCGCTTCGGTTCCGGCGTTCTGCAGACGTAGCGAAAGGAAGAACGTTTTCGGCACTTATCATGTTCCGTCGCAAGGAAGACAGAAAATGGGCGATCGTCTCCAGAAATTGGCGCTGGAAGTAGAGTTACATGCATCGGACAGGATTGGTGAAAGTGGAGAGTGCCTTTCGGTCGGGGCGCGCAGCGTCTCGACCGAAAACGTGCGAGCAGTGAAAAGACGGCGAGCGTTAGCCCGAGGCACGAGAAGTGTTAGCCGATATCAGCCAATGCTAGCCGATATCAGCCGGTGTCAGGCGTTGTAAGGTGTCAGGCGGTGTCAGGCGTCAACAAATCCTCTCGCTTCTGGCCCGAACGAGAAACTAAACATCGCGGGTGATGCATCCCAACGCAAGGAAGGTTCTTACCTTCTGAAATTCCCTATTTAGGTGGGTCGTAGTCGGTCCTCGGAGCCTTTTTCCCTTTTCCGCATCGGTTAGCGAAGAGCGTTCCCCTTTCGGAAATCGGCGTTCGGTACCAATTTTCGACACGCAGAACGTGGTGTTCCACAGGCTTCGTGCAAAGAAGGATCGTTTCCGAACACACTGCATCTGGGTTTCCGCGTTTCTCCCTATACTTACTATTTAGTCGTCCGAGGGACGGAAAACGGGGACGATCGGCAACTGGAATCCGCGCAAGAAATGGGGTTTCGGCCGGGAGAGCAGTCGACAGGCTTCGAAGGAAACACGTCCGTCGAGAAATTTCGGATTCCACCGACGGTTTCGAGAGTCCGGTCACCGTATCACGCATCGGTATCGATCGGTAAACGACCCGAGACTCTCGAGAGTGGACCATAAATTTCGTAGTAAAATCATTTCACAAGGTATTATCACTCGTGGAGGTATCCAGTTCCTTTTTTTTCTTTTTACAAATAAATTCCCGAGGCTTCAGGAGGCCCACGACGTCGTATTTTCCTGTCGTGTTTTCCTAACTTTCTCACAACGAAGTCCCACCTCGTTCCACGCACGTAAACGTAAATAAATTCTTCGGGGCTCGTCCCGAATAATTTTTTTTTTATGCGCAATATTTTACTAAAATCTCGACTTTAGGGCAACGTCAGCTTCGTGTGATGAATTTCCCGATCGTGGAACCACACTTGTAACTAAACCCTATCGATCCCGAAACCAAACCTCATTTAAAGAAATGCAAGCACGCATGAAATCCCCTGAGAAAACCTGAGTCTTCCGGTTGTTTCTTTCCCAAATTGGCCATGCCTTTCATCTGATGATGTGAACGATGCCGGAGGCACTTTTCTCCATCACCTTCGACACGGAGTCGATCGATACTTTATGATACTGATATTTAAAAATACCCAGCTCGAAACCTGGGTCACAAGGGGTTACGGAATATCCTGTCCAACAAAGAGAAGGCTGTATCGAAATCTCAGAATCTTGATGACAGAGTCCCTGCAGGAAATCAGCGGCTTGGCGTCGGAGGTGGGGGGGCACGGGCTCTCCCGCTTAGAAAAAAAAAAGGAAAAAGAAGCAAGAGTAAAAAGGAAATAACGTATGAAATACACGAGAACCGTGTCGCGGAGTTCTCGTACAAATTCTATAGACGCTACGCTTATGCAGGAAAGTGCAAGCTGTTCTTTGCCGTCATAAAATAGTTGCACGGGACGAGCACACAGATTTCAGTATCGGACTGGATCCTCACGATACCAAAAGAGTTAGTGAAAAGGTTAAGGGTGGATTTTTGAACAGAGAACTATCCGATAATGCAGCTTTATTTCTGAGAAAATGCATTATAAATCCGGTAAATAAAGCAGAATTATCGGATAGATGAAAAGGTTAAGGGGGGATTTTTGAACAGAGAACTATCCGATAATGCAGCTTTATTTCTGAGAAAATGCATTATAAATCCGGTAAATAAAGCAGAATTATCGGATAGTACTCTGTTCAAAAATCCACCCTAACTCTTCGATCGGCACGCAGCTCTAGACTCTCACGAGTGGACCAGAGGTTCACGGAGAAACAATGATACGATAATCTACTATTTGTGCAACTATCGGCTCCCATTTTGTATATGAATTCCACAGGTTCGAGAAGGACAACCATGTCGTGTCTGAGCCTGTAATCCTTTCCTGTCTTTCTCACTTCATCGTTCCATTTTCTCACTTAAACCCCTTCATAGAATACCGGCCAAGAAAATTTTTTCAGAATAATGCATAGAATACCGACGGACATCCCTTCTGTAAATTTATTTCTCAATGCTGCGAGAGAAAAAACTACCTTGTTGTTAAAGCCTCTTACACTGACAAACCTTACACCTACCTCCTTTTCACAGGAATAATGTAGCATGTTTGAAGAAGTACTTGGCCACGTACCTTCTGTCATGATGCATTTTACCCATGCACATGATGCTTTGTCTTTTGCATTCATCTGTTTCACCCAATTTGTATATTTTGTTTTATTTTTCATCGTGTATCCAGTCTCCATGGATTATGCAATCTCCTCTTGAGCAATGAAATTTAAAGTTGAAAGTTATCAAACCTTTCGAAACCATAACATATACAATGATATGATGGGAGTCATCGAGGAACAGGACCTGAGCTCCGGTACTACGTGGGGTCCATAAGTTGTTGATCGATTTATAGAAGTTCATATCTCCTTAATCAATTTCGCTAAGAGCAAACAGTTTGCAGCAAACAACAGTAAAAGCTTTCCAAGCTTTTCAATGGTATAAGCTTACCTTTCGAACTCGAAGAGGCCACCATTAGTTGCACTGCAGTCATCCATCCGATATTCGAGAGATGCAGCCGATTGCGAAGCACTTCATGCACGATAATCTGCTCGGCTCTCGGCTTGCCTGTCGCACGTTCTTCCGGGGAATGCGTGAAAAGGCTTACCGAACAAGTTTGACGGTATCACGTGGACTAGGTCGACCGGGGACGTAGCCGGGAGGGGTGTCCAGGGGTCTTCACTCTTGATACCACCGAAGAGGCAAGACTTCATGAAATAGTCACGGAGTGAGATGAGAATTCATTTGAGAGATTGTTTTCCGTCAGAGATGAAAGGGCTAGGAGAAGACCAAGGAAAACCGTGGAAGCATTAGAGTTCGCCAATCTAGCGACTTATGACACAGAGACCTGTGCAGGCACGGGCTCGCTCCTCGCTCTTCACAGGCTCATATGCCCTTCAACTTTTACTGTCTCAGCTTAAAATCCCAGCTGGACCCCAGCTGTGAATTCGGACCCATTCCAACTGGGTAACAGCTGGAAAGGAAAGTCAGATCCAGATCGGTTCCTATTTGCAATACCACTGGTGGAATGAGAATGTCTTTGTAGGCTATCCTTGTTGGAGGTCTCTATTCAGAAGCGGCTGACCTTCAACTTTAAATTCAGCTGTATTCCAGCCGGAGGGTCCTCTGTATAAAATTCTAACTGGATATTTCCAGCTGGAAACAGCTATTAAAACCTATTGCGTTCCATTTGGGAAATTCCGGCTGTATGTGTATCTACCATTTTCCAGTCTATCCTTTTCTAACCGTCGATTTCGAGGGTAGGACGTTTCCTGTATTCTTAAACTGTTTGTACCGTCCTCTAATCGACTGATCAAAAGGCGACTCCTTGTAAACATTCTCCGATGTTCATACGTATGACAGAATTTTACCCCGCAAGCCACAAAAGACACTGCTTTCTCCTGTGCGGTGGAAATGGCACCGAAGAGGCAGAGGGGTTTCGTCTCACAACAGCAATAAAAGCAAAGTACGAACTGCGCAATGAACTGCGGCCGCACAAGCATGGAACTTGGGCTTCCATGCTTGGAGAGTTCCTCATGGTGTCCACAAAGTCCCGTTACCCCTATGGTTATTTCTTCAATGCACTGACCAAAAACTGAAATGTGTGGCATTGTGGTGATAGGAGTTATTTGCGTTTAAATAAACAGGTTACACACTATTGGCTGTTCATCCCTAATCGGGCTTTATTTCTTTGACGGTCGAATAAACCACACAAGTTTTCTGCATATCCTGCAGACCTGGTTTATTCCGGAGCTCGATAGGCTGGGTATCCGTCAGGAAGCTGAGTTTCAAACGATGCCCTGGATAGCTAAATGTGTGCGGCCTGTTCATTTGTGCGCAAGAAACTTCAATCATCACGATGCCACACATTTACTTTATTGATTAATGCAGGGCCGGATTAAGGGATGGGGGTAAAGGGGGCTATTGCCCCGGGCCCCTTGAAGTTATAAACGTTAAGTATTCGCGTAAAGTAGCAGATGTTACAAATCTAGATTTGCACCACCAGCGCTCGACTTTTGGCTCCTCTAGGCCACTTGCACAACCAGGTAAATTTTTTTTTTCGGGGGGCGGGGGGGGAGGGGACCCAATAATCCACTTGCCCCGGGCCCTGCAACTTCTTAATCCGGCCCTGGGTCAGTGCATTAACGAAAAAAAAAAACATAGGGGTAACGGGACTTTGGGGACACCCTGTACTGTTGTTTACCGCAAACCGTACAATTGGTTTAGGACAACCCAGAAAGGTTCTCAATCTTTCTGGGTTCATGACCCCTTTTTGCTGGAGCCAAAAGCTTGCGACCCCCAATTTTCAGGTTCATGAAGCTAAAGAGAAATCGAGTACAAACTATCTAAAGAAAAGAGATTTCTAGGAATCCAATGTGAGACTTTCGCGACCCCAGGGGGGTTGCAACCCACAGTCTGAGAACCCCTGGTTGAGGAGATAACAATTTATCGACACCCTGCATTTCGAGGTGCCGAAGCTGAGTTCCAGCTCAAATTGAATTTGCACTTGGCTGTGTATGTCAAATATCAGACGGAAGAACTTGCTCCTTTGTTGAAGAAGGCCTAGTAGTCCTATTTTCCGGGACGCATACATGACATTCCGATCCTCCATACAGCTGATCGAGTATGCATAACTTTGACCCTCCTGCTCGAATCGTTGGATTGATTCTGCACGTACCAATTCTTTCCTGGTTCCACACTCACTCGAGGCTGCACTGTCCAATCGAACCGTAAAACGTTATCGTATTGTAGATTACGGACAGCACTGCGTGTGATGGCGGCCTGCAGGTTGGAGTTCTCACATGTCTGCACTCTGCCGGCATAGAATTTCCGGAAGGCAGGCACAGGTTATTATAATAATTCGATAAAGGAAAGAGCAAGGACGTCGCCCAAGAATGCAGGTCGGAGGATTCCTTCTCCTTGCTTTCGGAGTCATCGCACTCCTCATCAGCTCTGCCATTCATCGCATCGAGGAAGGACACGTCGGCGTTTACTATCGCGTCTGTTTCTGATTTCCACTCATTTGTAGGCCTGTGAAATTGCCGTAGAAGACCTACATAACCTTAGCTTAGGAAACATTTTGGCCAAGCTCTTGGCTTGCGTGGACTCACTTCTGACCGGTATCTTCCTTCTATGGGAAGCGTACAGTAACATTAAAAAGGCAATGGCCTAAGTTTAGGTTCCTGCATACAGTTGCATGACTGAGAGTAATTGAGAATTTTACAGGGAGGTGCTCTGCTGAGGGAAGTTTCCTATCCAGGCTATCACATGATGGTCCCATTCATCACCTCATTCCGGTCTGTCCAAGTCACAATGCAGACAGATGAGGTTAAGAACGTCCCATGCGGCACTAGTGGAGGAGTCATGATATACTTTGATCGTATTGAAGTGGTCAACATCCTCAGTGCATCAGCAGGTTCGTTGTGGGCATTCCCATTCATTTTGGGAGTCATTTTTTGTGCATGCATGGCATGTGAGGAAAGAGTCAATTATAAATGTAGAAACATAATTAGACAAGATGGATTAGAAACTACTTTTTCCTAACTTGGAATGTATTTGGAGACTCAGTACACCTGTGATGACTAAATAGGAAAAGCAAAAAAGAGATTGATTTTGGTTGTGATAGTATATGCCATGGTTGGTTTCACTTACACAGAGGTAACGTTTTATGAAATAACATGAAAACCCCGAAAAAACCATTGGTGAAATGGTTGTGTCGTAACTGCTTAAGGGCCTTCAACTCAGCTAATCTGTCTGTTCACCACAGGGCCTTTCAATTCTCTTTGCATATGGAGCTGCTGTGGAAGTCCCTGGCTCATTAGCTTGGTTCTGTTCACAGGACCACTTTGACATAAATTGAAGGGAGGGGGGGGTCAATTTATTAATGAAAGAAACTCATAACATTTTTATTTCTACAAAATGTCTTTTTAAGTAAAAGATGTCATTCTCAGTCCTTGTGTTCATATGACATAAAGCTCATCCCTGTAGCTTACATAAAAGAATAATTATCACCAAAGGGCATTTTACCTTCCAATCCCCAACTTGAAGGGGTGTATCTCAGCTCCCATGAGATTATAAGCTAGAAAGTTAAGGGTTGGGGGTGTTTTATTTCTCATGGTAATTAATCTACCCTGAAAACTTGATGGAACTCAGAGGGGCTGGTAAAATATCTTCTGATCACTTAAGCTGGTCTGACCCCAAAGTATGAAGAGTGGCATGTAATATTTGTAATATAAAAAAAATTATTTTCTTGCATTGGCTGAGGGAAGAATCAGTTACAATTACCCCAACAAATGAGGAATCTGTTACAATTTTGTTTTGCACACTTTTATCTGTTAGGAGCTTGTTGTGTTTTTTCTTCATCTTATTTCTTTGTTGCATTGGGTCTTATCAACCCTCACACAGCCAGATGTGTCCAGGTCCATGACTTTATGTGCTGTACAAATTTGATTTGTCCTTTCTTTCATCAGCAAATCAAAATTAGATCAAATCAAATATGTATATGCAAGACAAAAAAAAAGAGGAAAGCTGGAGATAAATAGGCCTTATAGAAATGTCATTATGGACTCCAGAAGTGGGAAGGGGTTTCTTCCTACATCTACTTCCATGTAAATTTGATGACTTGAATTCATTTTCATTTTCAGCCATATACAACATCCTAATATTATTTATAATAATCTTATGAAATATGAATGGATTAATGAAAGAGATTTCATTTATACATGTATGACATTTACTTAATTCAGAAAGTAAATTACCAGTATGGATTTACCGCACCTACACCTACCTACCTAAACTCCTGGAAAAGTTGTAGTTGTAGTTGTACCCATACTACATCTTTTGAATACCTGACTGCATTCTGCATTAGGAAAGGGAAGGAAAGAAAAAAAAGTAACAGGAAGTAGTGTATGCATTTCTGTACTGAGCTCATATTTATTGGTGACATTTGGTTTATAGCATATGAGATGGTGAAGAACTACACCGCAGACTATGACAAGACACTTATTTTCAACAAGATTCACCATGAGTTGAACCAATTCTGCAGTGTTCATAGCCTTCAAGAAGTGAGCATCCCATCACAGTTGCACAACTTTTAAGTCAAAAGGTGTGTTTAGAGTGAGGAAATTAATAGTCATGATGCTCTTTACAGGTGTACATTAACCTATTTGATCAGATTGATGAAAATCTGAAGGTGGCATTGCAGCGTGATCTCACTGAGATTGCCCCAGGACTCTCTGTTCAAGCAGTTCGAGTCACCAAGCCCAAAATCCCTGAATCCATTCGCAAGAATTATGAACTCATGTTAGTTGAAAAATTTACCTAAGCGCCAAAAAGGAATGTTGTCTTGTGAAATGATTGATTTTTACTTTGAGAGGGCATGAAACCTATTCCAGGGAAGCAGAAAAGACAAAGTTGCTGATTTCCATTGAGAAGCAGAAAGTGGTTGAGAAGGATGCAGAGACAGAGCGCAAGAGAGCCATCATTGAGGCTGAGAAAGTAGCTCAAGTCTCTAAGATCCAATTTGAACAAAAGGTAATGGAGAAGGAATCCATTCAACGCATGTCAAAGATTGAAGGTAAGCATACGTCTGTTGCTTTAGCAGCATACCAGGCACCATACAGTTGAATGCATGGACTGACCTGGAGTGACCTTTGTTCACAGACGAGATTCATCTGGCTCGAGAGAAGATGAAGGCTGATGCTGAGTTCTATTCTGTCCGTCACGTGGCCGAGGGAAATAAGCTTCTCCTCACAACTGAGTTCCTGGAGTTGAAGCGATATGAGGCCATTGGGCGGAACTCAAAGATCTACTATGGACCAGCGATCCCCAATCTTATCGTGGAACAGCCTTTAACTGGTACTCTGTCACCTGATACCCACTCATCTGAGGCCATATCACCTGTGGATGTGAAGAAGATGGCTTCTGCCATCTTTGATGAGGTTTCCAAGAACCAATCCAGGGAATGAGGACTTCTGTCAGGGGATATTTGAATCCACAAATCATCTGTGATCCTGTGGGAATCTTTGTGATATTTCAATGATGACTCATCACAGGAGGCAAGGTGAAAGTTGTTTTTCTCAGGGAAGGGTGAGCAAGCAAAGTGAATGCCATTTCTGCTCTGTTCCATCAGAATTCTCCTTTTGTTACTTGAGGATTTCCTGCGAGGAAGTTTCATTAAAGTAGTGGGTTTGCTGATTGATTTTTTATCTTCATGGAAGGAATGAATATAAAATACGACTGGTTTAAGGAATCCTCATGATGCAATCACATTTTTTAATGCAGATCAGAAGCTTAGCATGGATTATGTTGTGTTGAATGGGGTAGACAAACACTACTTGCTCATTCTCCCTCTCCCTGCAAGATTTTTACATCCACAGAGTGTTCTTGCCATCTATATTCCATTCCTTTTGGGTTATAATGGAGAGAAAATGTTTTTTCCTGGATATTGTCATATGCTTCTCTTCTTGTACTGACACCTTTTTTTGTTTAGTTCTCCTTTGGCACTATATTTTGGCAGCCTTCTGCTTTTCTTATGCATCTTGCTGTTCTCTCACGTAGCTCATTTTCATAGATGGTTGCAACAGGCAGTTGTTGATTTCATCATCTTTAGTGAGAGTGGATGTTTTCTTGATTTTGTAGTGAAATGTCTGGGGTATCTTTCAAATTATTTGTATGAATCAGCATATTAGTGGACATCATGATTAACTTCTGACTGAATTTATTCAATTTGACTTCTCTGAACAAAAGTAGTCCAAAAGGGAACTTTGTTGGTGGCCTAGTGCTGGCAACTAGACCTGGTCTAGTTACCTAATCCACTAGTGACCTAGACTGGTCACCTGCTTAGTGCACTTCAGATGGAGAGGAAATTGTGTACAATGGGCCAAAAACCCAGAAAATGAAGCCTAAATGTCTAAATATTCAAATAATCAGTTGGAGAAAATACATTTTCCCCTTACCTAATGGCCATGCAATCATATTTTCTTACCATTCCCCCTTTCCATGCAACATGTATTTAGCCTTATGCTTAATTGGTTTTCTTACACTGTAGTTTAGCAATTAAACTGACAACTCTGTAGTTTGTACTTTAGTATGAAAACACTCCTTGGAAGAAATATTGGGAATCATCCATTCAATAACTTCTTCCCAGAGTAAGGCATGGCCTCCTATTCGTTGCTAGAAATGTTTTCTATGGGGTGAATTTGAAAGTAATGCTGATCAAACCATATAAAATTCTAATAAGATCTTTGGTAGTATGCTTCATGGGTATTTCACCTAATTCCAAAACTTTCAGTTGCCACTTATTGCCCAAGAATAAGCTTCTAATCTTGGATAATGAACCCCAAATGCACCGGGCCTATGGTGTACAGTATAGCACAGGAGCTCCAAAAATTCAATTATTGTGCTTTACCCTTTAAGACTTGAAATGAAAAATATAAATGATGCAGAAGCATTTTCCTCCTTCAACCATCTAATCCATCAAACATCATTGACCACAATAAAAATACAAATACCAAAAAGGTTCTCAAGAACTCAGAAGTCTTACTAGGCCTCAAGATCATGCATCCCTGTGTAGCCCTACAAATTATGCAAAAAAAAAACAGGAATCCTGAGTCCTGCTAGGCCTGAAAGGGTTAAACTGAAAATGGTAATTCTGTATTGCTTTGAACACCACTCAATGCAAACGCAGGCAGTTACAAAATGTGTATGACTCTTTATAAGGCATGTACATATGAGCACACTTCTAAAAGGATCAAGTTGCCTCAAACTTTGAGCTAATATTTTTCCTCAAGGGGAAAGCATTCTTAAGATGCAAGGTATTGACCTTACCAATGTTGACTCATGAAAATATTTTAATAGTTTTAAGAAACTCCATTCCATTCACTTCTGAAAAACACAAAGTTTTTTAGTTATATATAGATGAGCTTGAGTGAATCCTGTCTTGAAATGCAATTAATGCAACCTCAAACTGGAATATGTTTACTTGTTCTCTTTCTTTTCATCTGACCTTTCCAAAACTTGCAAAAACTCATGTGGTATTTGACTAGATTAGATCAATAATTGGGAATAAATCAGCGACAGTTTCTCTCATTGCCTCCAAAGTGTCTCTGAGCTGTGTGAACTCATGAAAATTAATATTACTGCATAAGATATGGCATACTGAGGAGTTACCATGCGAGACTGGATGTATGATTATTATCTTATGTTTTGGCAAAAAGTGACAGCTGGAAGTTTTCACCTAGAACAACCATGAAGTGTTGTGCACTGAGACTTTAGATTTTAATATGGCTTAATCTGCCTTGCTTGTCCAATGGAGACTTCAAAGCTTCCTTCCTCAGGGCTCCTTCTTAATCACTCTGAAAAATATTTCTAGTGATGAATAAGAAGTCGCATCTTACTTTAGGAAGAAGTTCTTGAAAGTAAGTTTCACCATGATCATTTCCAATATGTCTTCCATGCATTTACAGACAGGAAGTTGCTTGATTACAGTGCAAGCACTATTGTATCAATGCATGGAGACCAGTGAAGTATATGGCCAAATATCATTGTAAATTATATGGAAAGGGAATTGTTAGAAAATAAAGGTGGTATATGTTGCATGGCCATTGGGGAATCATGGGGGAAAAGTTATTCGACATTTTGACAATTTAACCGCATTTTCTGAGATCCTGGACTATTGTATAATATAGTCAAAAGTCAAGAGTATTCCATGCGGTTTCTACTTGCCTCTGGGTGAGGGACCCAAAACGACATTAAATAATCAAAAAACGCGTTTTGTGAAAGTGCTTCTTCGAAGACCGGGCCCCTTGAGTTTTTTTCAAGGCCAGGCCCATACCCGATCGGTCGACTCGAATTGGCTTGGGTTTGAATTTCGCGAAATGCGGGAACGCGGCGCCACGTTCCGCACGAAAGGGAAGGGAAGTGAAGCCAGATGATTCCTTTCGAGGCATATATGGATACCGAAAGCTGGGAGCAATGATGATAATGAGGAGAACGTTTGAGGATGCCACGATGGCAACGATGGCTGTGGCCGGAGGGTGAGGGCCCTCGCGGTCGTCCACCCCGAGTCCGGCTTCTACCGTCCCATTCTCCCTCCACAACACGTGACGTGAAGTGAACCTCTTTCCTTCTCATCGTTTCTCGATCCACGGTAAGGATTCCTACGGAGACGAGAAGGAATCGAGGCTTTTAAATGCATTGTATCGGAAACCGGACGGGGTCGGCGACTCCCGCAAAAACTCATCCGTCCTTGCCTACTCCTTTCCTTTCGACTCGTACGATGGCAAGTCGAACGCGTCTGCCGCAAGAAAGCGATACGCCATCGCGTTCGGAAGAACACTCTTCCGTTTCACTGCAGTGCGTTAACACTCGATTGCATCACGCCCACCTCGGGGTTCGGATGTGAACGTGAAGAGACGTGTTTGGCCGTCATCGCATTCTGTGTTAAAAGTCCTTTAAGATAAGATCGACCTATCCCTCTTAGAGATATTTTTGTGGGAGCACATCCGCCTGCAGCCTAGTTGTTCGCAGCTACGTTGAATGATTTCAAGGCTGCAGTCCAGTTGCAGTTCGGTTCACGTTTTAGTCAAGTTGACGTTCGAGTTGGGATTTCTTAGCGATAGAAGGCGACGCGAGCACAGTGGAACTTCGGTCAGACCCAATTCTGAACCGAAAGTAGAATCGAACTGCCGTTTTTAAAGGAACCGTTGCTCCGCCAGCTGTTGCAACCGTCTCAAGGAATGAAGTTTTTTTTTTTGCTTACGTATGGAGTGGTACGATGGAGGATCGCTTGAAACCTGAACCTTTTTTGTTTCATTTTTTATTTACCCTCTTCTACCGAACTTAACTTCAGTTAAGTTGGTCAGAGTTGGTCACCTGCGCACCGAGCCGCGGGCCTCATCGCTTCGCGAGACTTTCTATATCCATCTCTTAAGACGTTGGTGTCCAATAGGTTTTCGATGCTCGCCAAACTTGTGGCAATCAGGTCATCATATTCGCCACGTGATACAAAATATATGCACTATTAATAATAGAAAAAGGATGCACAATCTTGAAAGTAGGTTTGAGGTTGTAAGCCGTCATCAATCAAGACTGCTACACAGTAAAATATTAAGTAAAATGTGGCGAGTGGCGAACGTATTGGACACCATGGTCTTAAGATGATCGTTGCTGCATCTTCGACTGGATCGTCCGTGCGAAACCGCTTCCCCTTCCGAACGCGCTTTGCGAGGCGGAACGCACCGAAGGTCCGGACCGTGGGAGGGGTGCACAAAGCTCCCAAACTGCACCCTCGGGTGCACCGGAACTTGCCGACCGAGCGCTGCCCAGTGGTGTTCGCAGTTGTCACTCCTCCGTGCGGCCGATCGTCGTCGCGAAGAACGACGGCAACACGCTGTTCTCTTCCGCGCTGGATCGCGACGAACCGTCTTCGCTTCCTCACAGAGATCATTCTACGGTAGATTTCGATCGGCGGAGTCCCCTCGGCCGTCCGAGTCCTAGCCGCACTGAATTTTTTGAGACGCACTCTCGAGGCAGAATGTCATTTTGTCGAAGCTGCCGTCACGACACGTGACGTGACTGCACCCCTCGTACTTGACGTACTACACGTAAGGCGATCGACCGTTCCTCGTTCTTCGGGACGACTCGTCGCTTTTGTCCGAGCATCTCGACCAGTGGCGTAGGGAAGGGGGGGGGGGGGGGGGGGTCAGGGGGTTAGGTTCCCCCCTCCGCTCTTGGGCATCCCGGTCAGTGACACTGACAAGCATATTTCGTCCTTCCTTGGGAATTTCAATTTTAGCTATCCCCCTTCGAGGAAAGTCCGATGTCAGTCCACAGATCCAAGATGCCAGACCACGATTTCTTCGAAAAGTTAAATTCCGGGTAGTGGAGCTAGGCGGAGGGTTGGAGTGTCTACTGTACATGGCCTCAATCCCCCCTCCCTTGCCGATTTCCTGTCTACGCCACTGACCTCGACCCCACCCCCCGAGGGGTCATCATCATCAGGTGTCCCCATTCTAGTCTCTTCTACTCGGTCACTCTAATTACACGTGTACATAATTTTAAGGTCGGTGGAACAGAGTAAAAATAATGATATGCAGATTTCTGTAATGGGGAACTTCTGATGAGAACTTACGCATAGTTCATGTCCCCTCGCACTGATATCTACAGAGGGTGGCGGTAATCAATACTGATCCTAAATGGGGTGTGGGCTTTCATCAGTTCACAAAACTGCCATCGGGGCAAATTTTTTAAAGAGGGGAAGATGAATAGAGTTGAAGGTTGTCGACTCCTCTTTTCCTCCCGACACTCACTCGTTCAGCATGTGGTGACCGTGGAAAGTTCCTCCCCGATTGCAGCCTGTGAACAGGACTCCAATGATGAACTTCGGATCCTCCTATCGGAAGTCGAACAGCCCAGGTAGTGCGGAATGCGAACTCATACTTCGTGAAAGAAGCGGAGAAAAGAGTTAGTTTTAGTTTCATATCGTGGGCTCGTGTGCAAAAAGAATATATAAAGACGATGATCGTTAAAATGAGACGGCGATCCAACGACCACCCTGGGACCGAACGATGCCCGAGGCCAGATGTTAATGATCTTGCCGAGACTTGCGAATCGAAACCGCATCGACGTGAATCACGCCGAATGGGAAGAAAGACGAAGGGAAAACCCTCGACGTGGAATTGGAAGCAGGAAATGGGAACTACGTGATGTAGAAGAAAAGGAGACGGGTTTCTGGGAAAGAAGCCGCCGTGAAAGCGGTGAATGGAGAATCCAGATCGCCTCTTGTAGGGCTCCTTAAAAGCTCGCTCTTTATTCATCCGGTCGGTTTGCGTTTATCATGCTGGTGGGCGTCTAATACGTGAAACCGTTCACCTCCGCATGCTTTCTCGGCATTCGCATGCACTTCGGCGAGCTCATCCGGTTCCGTACCCAGAGGGTGCAAGTTTTTTCCTGGGATGTGCCCGTCGACCATCCCGGTTTCCTTGCTTTCCTCTGCTTAGGTGGTAAACGATCGCATGAAGGACGTTGCCACTATAAGAAAAAAAAATGGAAATAGGCGTCACTTCTTCAATGGAGTGTAGAAAAGCAATAAGGGAGTTGCTCCTGAAAAAAATGAAAACAGCTTTTACACGCTGAAGTGAAGCATTTTCGAGTGATGCTACCGCTTAAACGTATCTCTTGATTCAAAGTGGAGATATCCAGAGAGGCCTCATACCTTAATCATAATCCTTCTTATCATAAAAGGTATATTTTTATTTATATAAAAACGTGCGCCCCCTCCCTCCAGCTCGTGAGCCACAATACGCCACTGTTACCGTAAAATATCGTGAACAATCCTTACATACCTAAACGATACCTTCAACGGTCACATATGATGCAGCTTATGGGTGTTAACGCGAAGCCAGCGAAAAGAGGATGAGAGAGCAGAGGTCAGAGGAGACGTGGTCTTTGTTTTGCAGTTTGGCTCCCAGACGACGCCGGAGGTCCTGGACCCTCGTGATGGAAACCCAGGAGACGAGGAGAAAGGGAGAGGAAGAGAACACGAAAAGGAAGGGAGAAGAAAAGGAGGCGAGAAGGGAAGGAGGAGAGGAAGAGACCAGAAGGAAGAATGACATGAACGTCTGGCCCATCGTTCTGGTCGTCATACTGGGCGTGAGTTACATGGCATTCTCGGATCGAGGAGGGATGAGCAAGTATTCGCGGCTCTTTCGCCGTTACTTCCTCATCCCTGGGGAATCCTTGGAGATCCACGTCCACCGCCCCCCCTTCCAGGAAGTCGAGGATCCGGGCTATGGCTCCGCCTGGTGCAATCCCCATCACATCTTTGGCATGAAGCGACCCCTTTGTCAATTTCGAAATCTCTGCTATTCCGCCGATCCGAAGAGACGGGGATTCGCGTTTTTCGTGGGACGGAAGTCCAGTCTAGACAGCCTCCCGAGTCCGGAGGAGACCGAGGAATATTTCCACATCTCCTTGGATCCCAACGCTCACCGCCCGTACCCGACTGAGCGGTATCCTCACGACGAGGAGACCTTGAAGAGATTCCGATTTCGATTCTTCAACGGTTCCGTTCTCCTTCTCCATCGGAGCGCCGAAGACGGATTCCATCTCTCAACTTCCTTCCACAACGACCTCATGCCGCTCTACTTCACCTTGCAAGAACTGTGCGTTGGAGACGTGGAAAAGTGTTCTCGATCGTACACCCTATTCCTGGTCGACGACGGGGACTTGGATCCCGCAGACGAGTACCTGTACAGACCTTTCGCCGACGCCGGAGTGATTTTGGGGGGAGATCTGTCGGAAGACGCGGACGGGAACACGTTCTACTGCTTCCGCAAGGCGTACGCCGGTCTCTCGGATCACAGCTTCTTTTACGACTTCGGGAATTCCAAGCGATCGGAATCCCCGATCGAAGCCCTGGTGACGGGGTTCGACGTCCAACACTTCAACGAGTATCTCGTGAAACGTCTCTGTCGACTCGATCCGTGGAATCGGTATTGCGACGGAAAGCACCGATGCGGACAGATGGAGGAACATTCCGTCGTTCTCCTCCGTGAATCCAACGGGAGGATCCTCAACGAGGGGGAAGTCCGGGACACGATGGAGCGGATCTTCACCGACTATTTTCCTAAGTTCGACGGAGTGAAAGTGCTGGACGTGAGCGGGGATCCGAGAGACTATTTCCTGGAGGTCGCGTGTACCGTTCGGAACGCCAAGCTCCTCGTGGCGTACCACGGACAGGCCCTGACCTTTTCCACTTTCTTGAAACAGGGAAGCGGGCTCTTGGAACTGTTGCCTTGGGAGGCCGAGTCGGGTCCCTCCAGACTCTTCTATCGAAGTCTGGCCGAATTACGAGGAAAAGACGTATTTTACAGATCCTGGATCGCTCCCGGGCCCGACAGCCACCCGGGGTGGGAGGCGAAACATTCCAAATCTCTTCCCTATCGCGCGAACTTTGACGTCTCGGTGGACATGACCTCATTTCAGGTCGTCCTCCATCAACTGCTCTCGAAAATGACCCATTATCGACCCATGACGCCCTTGATGGCCGCCAACGTTCAGCATCCCATCGTCCCCGGAAAAGTGTTCACGTTCTCTCATCAAGCGACCGATCCGAAGACGCTCACCGTCGAATGGGAGGAACCTTGGAACGTCAAGTACCTGGAATACGAAACCGTCGGATACGAAATCATCCTCGTTCCCGAGAACGACTTGAACACGTCGAAGAGGAACTTCACCTACGTCACCGAAAGGAAGATGACGTACACCGACGCAGATAACATGTTGAATCAAGTGGTTTTCATCCATTGCGTCTTGGATCGGTTCGTTCCGAACGGGGAGAGAAGAGGCCCACAGTGGTTTTACGCCATCCCGGCGCGAGTGGGCGACGATTGACCTCCTTGTAGATTTCATTCATGCTGACTGTGATTCCAACTTTCACCTTTAGTAAATTTCATTACGGGAATGACATCGGGTCCTCGAATTCGAAAGGATGAAGCTATACCTACAGAAACAAGTAAACAAATTTTCCAGAAGGCTTGTCCTTTCACCGAACCGAGTGCTCCAAACTTTGCAAAATGATTCTAAAAGAAGACACTACGTATGTAGACTTATAGGATGCCATTCCGCATCGCGAGGATTCCTCTGGAATGCATCTACGCACGCGCAAACACACGAGACGTCTACATCGATGATAGCTATGAAATGTCATTATTTTAGGGCTGTACCGATGGCCACATTCGACCGGTGGGTCGATGGCCGATTTTGATCTCATAACCATCGGCTGGTGCTGATTGTGACCTTTATCTTGAGAAAACATGAAATCGCAAACTAATTCAAATGCGACAGCCCTGTGATACTCATCAGTGGCCTCCTTTCTTGAAAAAATGAAGACCACTTTTAGGCCTGTCCAGTCTGTCTGTCAGTTCATGTGTCCGTCAGTGGTTAGCTTGTTAGCTATAGCTGCCCTTTAAGAGCGTTTAGCGACAAATCTCTCGCAAATGCATAACATGAAAGAGAGTGCTATGATTTCCCGTTCTTTACCGCTATTTTCCTCCACCGGTTCCTACACTCGGGGCGAAATATAATCTGATCGATATTATTGTCCCGGTGAGGCCGACAGGAGTGGCTTTCAGTGAGAAATGAGGGCCGGCGGCGCCTTGTCGTGTTCACACGCACACGTATTTTTTTTTTTCGTTTATCCCCTACTTTGGGCACCGGCATCGGCAGCTTGAAACTCAGCCGATAGCCGATGGTGCAACACCGGTAGTTGCCGATAAATCGGGACAGCTCTACAATATTTGCATTTGTGCTATGAGATGTCGAGTCGGAGTCTCTCCGACTTGCATCCGAGAGATTGCACGGGAGTCTCGTTTCTTGCCGGGAGAACGAAGATCTGATGGCTGGTTGATTTTTAACTCGAGTCGGCTGGAGTATAGGGCAAGGTCCAGTGACCTTGCCCTATACTCCACCTCCACCCTATACACCACCTCGAAGTGCCAAGGGACACGAGCGGGCTGCTTCGTGTCATTCGGATAACTTCTCGTTCCATTGTACGGTGTACGTACCGCATGTGAACGGCACGTCGTCATGAGATAATTACGAGTATATCGTCCTATCTTCGCTTTTCACTGAATTCGACCCAATGCACCCGATAGGCAGCACTCGGTATTTGCTTCCATGTGCCGAGTTTTCAGAGTTCCACGTGGCAAACTTTACATAAATTCATCAAAATAGTATTGTTATAAGTGCCGAAGAACCAGAATTCGGAGCCCTATATCGTCTACTTCCTCCAAATATTCAGAATCGTTCGTCGACCGATGCTTCCGGTCGGGGATTTTCACTCCGATGACGGGGAGGTCCGGGGACATAAACTGAGGATCCAAGAAAATGTCTCATCGCAATGGGATCTTCCACGCTAGGAGTTTTAGCATCAGGGGTCAGAGGTCGTTCGTGACAGAAGAGGTGGCGCACATGAAGGTTTCCTTGGGACGACACACAGAAAGTCCTTCCCCCATATACTGTATGAAGCAATGTGAAAATCATCTTTCAAAGGCTTTCCCATTCTTCTTTGCGTGCCAGGAAATTTTGGACAAAAGCAGCTTTCACATCACAAATCTCTTCAAATTGAGTGTAGTAAAAATGTTATTTTTCCTTTGATGCTTTCCAGTGAAATACTAACGACAGGCATATTTCAACCTTCCTTGGAAACACCAATTTTAGCTATACCCCTTTGAGAAGAGTCTGATGTCTGTCCACAGACTCAAGATGCAAGACCATTTCTTTGAAAAGGTAAATTCCGGGTAGTGGAGCTAGGCGTTGGATTGGGGTGTCTACCTGGCTTCAACCCCCCTCCCCCCCCTTGCGCCACTGGTATTGGGGACCAATTCCAGCTGTAGCAGTATTGACTCGCTACAGCCGCTACTTTGACGTCATCTGGCGTCAGTTGTGTAAACCTTTGTTTGGTCTAGCCAGTCAGATGAATAGCAAAGACATGCCCAAGGAAAACGCCTCTTCGACGTTCAACAAACGTCCTTGAAAAACGTTATGTATTAAGGATCAAAGAGCACTTTTGGTGAGCGTCCAAAAGCTGCTATCCGTGAACATTGAACATCCAAGAACCTCATTGAACGAAGGTTGAACGTCCACTTAAAAGATAATTTCTTACTTAGGAGGGGGATTGTTGCCATGTCCATCTTATCTAGTCACCCGTCACCTCTGCTGTAGTCCACAACACCACGAGGCTTGTTGACACTCATAAATAAATTCTCATCACTGTCACACAGTACATTTAGAATTTCATCATTATTCACAATAGTACGATGCCGAACGCGAGTTCCTTTACGCCATATTTACTCGTTCCGATGGAAGGAAGCGTCAAAATAACCTATGAAATAAAAACTTCCACATGAAAAAAACCCTCAATTGACTAGGAACGGGCTCCTGAAAAGCTTGCGTCACGATAACAGTTTCACAGTTGGGCGCCTCTGGAAAACATACTGTTGCGTTTATGCAAGTTAAGTTGGGAAATCTCCCGCAGACGGCTGATTGCCGTACTTATACTTTTATCAGAAAAAGATTTGACAGGTGGGTAATGGAACACGATTGCGGTCTGATGGATATATGGGCCTGGTTTATTCAGAGACTACGGATGACTACATGTTTTATGAGATTCAGGGGCTGTCCGAGAGGTACAAATCTTCTTGTAAAGATGCGAAATCCAAACGACGTCTTGCTGTCCTCCAATGTATCCGCACCTCCGGGTCTCGGGGGAACCCAGAGTCCTGTCCTCGTCCAGTTGCTGCAACGAAATCTCAGGTAGAATCGAGCTCTACTCAAATGGGTGCCAGCCTCAAGTGAGGAGTCGATTAACCGTGGAAATTCTAACGTCTGCAGACACTTAGATCCAGAGGCCTTCCTATCCGTAAGGAAAGGGATAAAGGGATTGCCGGTGCTACAATCCGGTAGCACTTCCGCTCGAGGTTTGGATCCGCTATCAAACCGAGCCGGCCAGTCAATTAGCAACTGGAATTTTGCCGTCTGGAGACACCAAGGTCCTGAGGGAGTCGTGGATCCTATACCGTCGTAGTACGTCCTGGCTCGAGGTCAAACCGAGCAGGTGGTACGTACGTCGATGTCAACAGAGCTCGAGGTTCGTGACCCGCGGAGAGATTGGCGGCCGTTTACTTACAAATGGAGCAGCGCCTTCTGAGCCGTTCCACTTCCTTTATGGGTGGATCCACGAATGGAATCGGGTCAACCGAGCTCTGGAGGAGTCGTCCGGTCGCAGACTCTTGGCAGGCTCAAAAGCTTAGAGAGAGCTCCTAACTCGAGCTGCTGAGTCGTACAAGCGACTGCCTGCCTCCTCTCGAACTGAAGACGCATCGCGTCGCCATATTGACAATGTATACATTAAAAAATCACTGAATCTTATTAAATCCCTGAAAAACACAAAAAAAGTTATTAGGACCAAGGAGACAATACCATTTGGCAAGAATTTTTGAAATGCCTCTCGTGTGATTTCCTGGCAGCCTGACAGAAGCCCTTTTCTCAATCCACGCTACGTTTTTCTCAGTGGACACCCAAAGGAATGCGTTTTCAGCTTACCTAAAAATTGGCAGTTAAAAGCAAACATTGAGAATGAAGTTGAGGGCGTTTGTGAGGGATTCACAAACTTTTGCAGTGAAACTCCTCGAGCGCAGAAATCATAATGAAGCGTATTCTGAGGCAAATTGTGGTGATATAAAATCTAGTATTGTACTTGAAGTTGAGATTTGCATTAAGTTTTGGTTAATTATCGAGCATAGGTCCACTATGAATTTCAGAGGTTTCCAAGTTGTGACGGATTTCAAATTTGGAAAATTAATCCAGAGTGCCTTATTGTAACTGCCTCCATGGAGCGCAATAAATAAAGGGGTACGGATATTGAACTCCGGCAAAACGATACAGTGAAATCGTTTATTTATTTATTTTTTATTCCAAAAATGTCAATCACAGATGAACAAAGGATGGAATCCTATCAAACAGAACCTCCAATGGAAGCCGATGCACGTTCGGCTCTCTGTTTGATCAATTCTGTTACTAGTTCCCTCACCGACGGATGACGAAACTTGTCGACGGTAGAAGAGAAAAATTCTTGTAAAAAGTCTGGTCTTTTTTCAGCCTCCTCATATTCAAAGGCTTGCAAAATCATATCGAAACGATCTAAGTCCCTCACGAACATGGCTTCGGCTGTTGCTTGTGCCTCGAATTCCTGTAACACAAGCAGTCATAGCAAGTCAGCAAAGCAGGTATCCGAACGGTGCGGAGAACGTGGAATCGATCGACTGGCCTGACGATTTAAGAGACTGGGGGTCTCTCACTGCTACCCATCGGCCCCGACATCTTCCTATCTCACCTGAAAGAGGTTTTGCACTTCTTTGCCAACAGAGGGATCTAAAAGAGAAGTGAGAGATTCCATGGCTTCAGTCTCCTTCTTATGCTTCTCCTCATCCGACACACCGCAGTGAGGTGTGATGTCACCCACGATGCTCTCTGCTAGATCGTGAACGAGGCTCATTCTCAGGCACCTAGAAACACATGGTAAGGGAATCATCCAAAATGACAGACATCTTTCCATTGAATAAATAAAAAAGTCTATCAAAATCATAGGTGAGGTTTAGCAAAGAGATCGCTTTGCAAATGCAGTTTAACAAGTCACAAATTCGGCAGCGAGGTGAGTCTGCTGAAAGTCAACCACGGACCTTGTCATATAGCTGCAGCCAATCAACAATCCTTTTCATATCATGTAATTTATGAGAGAAAGTCATTACAATAATGCTAATTACAAGTGGAAGCTTACGTCCGTTTCAGACGCAATTTTCCAAGAATTCTGAATCGTCCTCGCGTTCCCTGCTTTTATAACTCCCCATTTCAACTGTTTCGCCCGAAGGAAAATGGAGGAGGGGGGAAGTGTCCTATATATAATTATTAGCGTATATATAATTATATAGGAGAGTCGTCGCTGCAGTGTAGACTGCATCATCGCGCTCGCACGCATAAGCTGGAGCGAGAAAGCGGAGAACGGGGAGTTGCCACATACGGGCAAATCTGAGATTTGAGATTTCTAAATTGAAAAATGCCTCGTCCGAAACGGGCTTTAAATTTTATGAGATTCAGACTGCATAGAATAAGCTGGGGCCTGTTCCTTACCAAAGCCAAAACAACGTCTAAATCTGAACTTCATCCGATTCTAAACGTCAGTCTCATTAAAACGCTATGAATGAGTAACCAAGTCTGCTTTTATATGATATTTAGTTTATATCCAAGAGCAGCTAAAAAGGGAAACTCTGATTACTTATGCTAAAATGTAAACTCAGGCTAAATGCTGTCTAAAATGTTGAGAAAATCTATTACAAATCATTTGCAAGGATATGCAACTTGGAACTGCATGATGCCAGGCTGCATGAATGATTCTCCTACTTGGCTGGCCATGGCTTGCAACAATTTCTTCTCATCATTTGAGTTCCCAGTTAATGTATTCCAGCAAATGCTTTATTAGGATTAGAAAGAAATCCCAAAAGCAAGACAGGTTTGCTTTTGTCCATATTATTTCCTCTTTCTGAACCAGAAAATGGAATTTCTTGTATGACTCATGACTCTTTGTAGATCAGCATGTCCACGATTTTTTGCACCTACATATAACCTCAACATGAGAGAGCCCAATGGTAGAGTCTTCTCAAGGTCTCCCTATATGCCATTACCACACAAACATGGACTAACTCATACGAAGAATTAGCAAGGTGACTGAAGGCATGACAAAGACAAGATGAGCATTAATCATGGTTCTTCCAAGTGATAGGCAATGTGAGCTAAATGAATGGTTGGTGTCTTAACTGCTAACAGAAGCTGGATGTGCTGAAGACCCAAGAAAATGAAGACAAAGGTGGTTTATTGGCAAAAATGGCAAGAAGTGCATGGAAAGGTACAGCAAGTCATATGCATCATTCACCTCTTGAAATCTTTCTCCAATTTCATAAACAATTTCTCCATTGTGTCAGATTATGTAAGTAATGACAAAGTTCGTGTCTGGGCAATGAAGTACAAATTTGATAAAAATGAAACCATAGCATTCCTCTAATGAAATATTAGTGTCTTCAGCAATGATTGTGCTACCCACTTCAAAGAGAGGAACAACTTGTGCAGCAAGGTGCAACTGTCTAACATATTCATTCAAGAGGTATTTGCTTTCATGACTGTTGATAGGCTAACAATCCATTTGCCTTATACTCAGCTCTAAGCACAACAAAAACTAATTAAACATTTTTTAAATTGTCTACACCATGGCATAGCATATACTAATTTCCCTAGTAACTCACTTGTTCATGTCCAATTGTGGATCATTGATGACCATTGACATGACACCCATGCGATACATATGGCCAGCAACAGTCTCAGGATTCTCAATTCCATTCTTCACCCAGCCAGTTCGACGTAGGGCCTGCATCAATAAAGAAATACATGCTAGGCATTGGACTAATTATATTGGATCCATAACTTTCTGTTTAAAGTTTAAGAAAATCATATACTTCTACATTCATGAAACAAATTATATATTTCAACATATTCCCCCTCACATCAACACACTTCTCCTGTCAAGGGGGAAAGGCACATATCTCACTAGGAAAATTTTCTTTTCACGGTCATAAGAAATGTTTGAACAGCTTCCCGTAGTTCATTGCCACTTTGTATGAATATATATAGCGATTCAAAAAACACCCTGTTATTTCTATAGGAGAAAGGCAGCGCCACATATTCAAATAAAAGCAATTAATTAGATAAGCTAGCAACATTAGAAGGTTGAAGTGAGGCCTTATAATGAGGTTTTTGTCAGTACTCAATCCTGCGTCATACTATCCCTTATTTCACAAATTAAAATTTACAGGTGGATCATTCCATTGCAAGCATGTCAATGGTTGGTGCTCAACCATCTTGGAATTCAATTAAATTTGGTGTGCCATCTGATCATGATGAGAATAGCCCATAGTCAAAATCAATGGTCTCCATGGAAAATAAAAGACAAGTGGAATTAATTTGCCACTCTGACAAATGGTCTCTTGCTTCCAGCATTTCAACTTTCCCATGTTGTTAACTTGATTGGTACAATCATTAATTTGTAAGCTATTGTGAAGTGTCTAATTTCAAAGTTGTAAAAAAAAAAAACCAGAATCATAAAACCTCAAAATCAGTTAGTGAATTGGTTCTGAGATCCATAAATTATTTCACTTACACATTTGAAGTGCCAAAACTATAGTTTGTCTAGCACTGATATTTCACTTTGATTTCAGTTGCTGTAGCCAATTTTTTTCTTAGTTTTCATGACAATATAGATGTAGGTGCCATTAAGAATGGGGGCATGCCATGAGATAGTACTCTTTTTTTCTTAAATTTCAGATGTTTTTGGCTGTATACAGGGTGGAACAAGAAAAAAAAGATAGGTTTCAATGATACACTTTACTGCACTCATTACATATACAGGGTGTTCAAAAAAGAACTCAGGAGTTTCAAAAATAAATATTTATTCAGTGAGTAAACACCAGGCATTTTTGTTTTTATAGGCCAATAGCTTCAAGTTTTAGTATTAATCAGAACACTTCAATGTGTGCACCATTGACAACTCAGCAGATGTCAAAACGAAATTCCACCTCAGCCCATACCCGAGACAACACATTCACAGGTATTGCAGTGATAGCCTTGGTAATTTGTCGTTGCAAATCGGCAACACTCTCCACTTTTCACTGTAGCGAAAAAGTGCCAAAAAAGTTCATGTCACTGTAGTAAAACAATTTGCAATGATGAATTTCTGAGGATATCGCTGCAATACCTGCGGATGTGTTGTCTCGGGTATGGGCTGAGGTGGAATACCGTTTTGACGTCTGCCAAGCTGCCAACGGTGCACACATTGAAGTGTACTGATTAATACTAAAACTTGAAGCTATAACGTGTTGGTCTATAAAAACAAAAATGCCTTGTGTTTACTCATTGAATAAATATTTATTTTTGAAACTCCTGAGTTCTTTTTTGAACATCCTGTGTATTAATGCTGTTTGCAGCATTTGAAAGGGGAATGAATAAGCTTTAAAATGGTGTACTTACATTCCAAATATTCTCAACAGTCCAGAAATTCAGAAACTCATTTGAACAGCAAACAAGAAGTTTTTTTTTTGTAGCAGTGAGAATGGAGAGATGACAGCTGAAGATCACATGCAGTCTGCATTTGAGTGCATGAACAAAGTTTTTGTTTGTTGTTCATGTTAGAATATCTAAAACTGTTGAAGATATTTGGAATGCAAGTAAACCATTTTAAAGATTATTCATTCCTCTTCCAAATGCTGCAAACTGCATTAAAATATATACAGTGAGTGCAGTATAGTGTATTGTTGAAAACTATTCTTTTCTTTGGCACACCCTATACATTGGGAATTATGGGCAGATCAACTTTTTATCAATCAATTAACTGACGTCCTTAGAACTCCCAAGGGAACAGGAATCAGTCATTTTCACCAACTCCTCTCTTCAGATAACTTGCAGATTTATGTTATCATTTAATATCATGGCACAAAATTCTAAAAAAAAATTACAACGAAAACTAAAATGAGCAAAAAGATAATTTCTTACATATTTATGCAGCATTAAAATCTATTATCAATATTCCTAACACTTGCCACAGATTCTCAGAATTTAGGCCGTTTCACATATGTAAATACAATTAGGCCTATAAAACATGCCAAAATGGCACGTCTTCAAGCACAATCTAAAAAATATCCTAATTACAAAGCAATCATTTCCAAATATTTGTATTATAGGTACTACATTAGGCCTACAGAGAGGTCGAGGTCGACGCCAAGTGTGAATAACAGAAACTCACTTTGAGCTTTCCAGCGAACTTCAGGAACTCCAGGAGCTTAACAGGTTCCATTAACGTTAACCCAACACCTGCCATTACTCAAGGTAAAAACTCGATACGACCATTGACTGGGAATGTCAAACGCACGAATGCAGTGAAAGTTTTAAAAATCCTGCTCAGTTAGAGTAAACTATTTCCCGCACTTGCTGTCCCGCTCAGAAAGCACTCAAACGTAAACATCTGGTGCCAGCACGTGTCTTGGATTAGGACAGGGCATCTAACCAGCCATCTATCGGCGATCAGTGGCGTGCCCAAGTGGATCAATTTTACAGGTTCGATTCTTGAAAAAAAAAAGTTATTGGACACAAATACGGGTGGGTTATCAGGTTTTTCATATGTTAACCCCCCCCCCACATTCGGATTTTCGGGCACGCCACTGTCGGTGATACATCCAAGTTTGTTTAGCCCTGTAGTTTAACAACGTTCAAGGTTCAAAGTTAGGGCTCGAACGTCAAAAGGAATTTGTGTCAGTGTTGAAATCCTTTGCAAAGGTGAAGCACTTATTCTAACCCCTCTTCTCGATTCGGTAGGTCATTCATACAGGAAGCGCAAAATGATCACAGTTTCCCATCTCTCCCTTTCACAGTGGCGTAGCATGGTTGGCATGGGCCCTGGTGCAAGGAATGAAACGTGGCCCACTCCAATTTCTTACTATTGAATTATGTGGGAGTTTTTTTTTCTTGCTAGATATTCTCCGGCAGTATATAAGTCGTCGCCGGTAGCTGAAGTCAATGTGGAAGGCAGTGGCGGATACAGAAATTTTTCATAGGGAAACAGGACCTGTTTCCTAGTTCCCAGCCTTCCCCCCCCCCCCCCCCCCCCCCCCCCCCCCCCCCCCCCCCCCCCCCCCCCCCCCTT